TTCTTCTTCTTCTTCTTCTTCTTCTTCTTCTTCTTCTTCTTCTTCTTCTTCTTCTTCTTCTTGTTGTTGTTGAGGCTTTTCTTGATGAATCTGACCAAAGCAGATTCGCTTCATTCCCCGACTGTTGGGACATGATCACGTCGCCCTCGGCGTCTGTCCTGAGAAGTAGAGATTTTTGTGCAGCCGGGGAAAGCATCAGCAGCATCTGTAGCAGCAGCAGCAGCAGCAGCAGCGCCGTAACTCGGAATATCAGCGGCAGCAGCAACAACCGACCGTTTCTCCACTCCGCGCCCCCGTCTGATCCACTACGACAAGCCCAGCGTCTGCCCATTAAGGTCGTGAAAATGCTGACGGCACGGTCGGGACACATCCTGCACCCGGAGTATCTGCAGCCCCTGCCCTCCACCCCCATCAGCCCCATCGAGGTAAGAAGGACAGGGGTATTAACCTCCTCACGGTCTAAACTCTGCGACACTTCGGAGAATTTTACCCGGAACCCCGTGCCAAAGTGAGCCGGAGTGTGTGAAGCACTTCGGGGTTGAACCTTAACTCACTCTTTGTTGTTTATTTCTCCTCTGTTGATGTTTTGCTCCGCGGTGGAGCCGTGCGTAAAAACCCGCTTTTGGGAAAAATCCTGTGAAAATCCTGGAGTCTGTGAATATGTTTGTTAAAAAGAAGGAGATAAATCAGCAGCGTAAACATGTTTTATGTTTGTTTTTTTGTTACAGCTCGATGCCAAGAAGAGTCCCCTGGCTCTGCTGGCGCAGACCTGCTCACAGATCGGCAAACCGGACCCGCCGCCCTCCTCCAAACTCTCCTCCGTCACCTCGAACGGATCCAGCGAGAAGGAGTCCAAGTCGGGCCCCATCAAGCTCAGCGACATCGGCGTGGACGACAAGTCAAGCTTTAAACCCTACTCCAAGTCCGGGGACAAGAAGGACTCGTCGTCCTCGGGAGTCTCGGCCGCTGCTGCGGACAAGTCTGGTTTCCGAGTGCCGAGCGCCACCTGTCAGCCGTTCACGCCGCGGACGGGCAGCCCCAACTCCTGCACCTCGGCCTCCCCCATGCCGTCCGAGGGGAAGTGCGGGGACAGGGACGAAAAGAAAGACTGCTCGGATTCTCCTTGTGGAAAAAGTGGCTCCGGGGGCGCGGACGGATCCTCCGGGACCACCAGCCACAGCAGGATAAGCGTGAGTTGCGGTGGGATTAACGTGGAGGTGAACCAGCACCAGGAGACGACGCCCGGCTCCAAAGCCGCCTCGGAGTCCTCCGCCTCCGTCACCTCCGTCTCCTCCGCCTCCGTGCTCGGCTCTGGACTAGTGGCACCGGTTTCTCCCTACAAACCGGGACAGACTGTTTTTCCTTTGCCCCCCGCCGGGATGACGTACCCGGGGAGCCTGGCCGGGGCCTACGCCGGGTACCCGCAGCACTTCTTGCCCCACGGAGGCAGCCTGGTGAACGCGCAGCTGGCCACGTCGCTGGGCTGCAGTAAAGCCGGCTCCAGTCCTCTGGCCGGAGCCTCCCCCCCCTCCATCATGTCAGCCAGCCTGTGCAGAGACCCCTACTGCCTCAGCTACCACTGTGCCAGCCACCTGGCGGGCGCGGCCGGGGCGTCCTGTGGCGCACACGAGTCCGCGGCGGCGGCGGCGGCGGCTCTCAAGTCCAGCTACCCGCTGGGGTACCCGACTCACCCGCTGCGCGGCTAGCGACCC